TCTTCCTTTAGACCCTATTCAATATTTCATTAACTCTGTAGAAGCAGTAGTAGTCCTAGCAGTTCACTTCTTCCAAAGCCGGCAGTGCATCTGAGATATCAGTGTATCATGCCTGCGGAACAGTGCCACGTGCCCTCATCAGCATTAAACTCACTGCGGGGTAGCGCAGCTGCTGTAGTGGTGGGACAGCCAACAGGGACCAGACAGGAGATGTTGTCCGAGGATATGGCTTCTTAGGCAGCAGCTTCCTACATCCAGTCGGTCACTAGCACGGCAATAATTCCACATTCCATCACAGTTCAGGTCACCACAAGCCCAAAGCAGGGTGTATAGTCAAACACACCGCGGTTAGCATGTCTCCAGACCCAGACCGGCCCTGACGGGCATGTGTACATATCCTATGTCCTTACACAGCGCTGGCACCTTCTCATATTCCTTAAATAACATGGTACCACGTGTACCAATAAAACAAACCCTGTATCTCTCACACAGTCTCAGAGTCAACAACTATAACCAGCAGAATCAAAGTTAGTTGAGCTTTTGTAATATTGCCCTAGGGTGATATGAGTCACCCATTTATCTCCCCACTCCAACAGGCAATTCTTTCACGCTTCTTTACCTTTCCATCCCAGCCCCATCTTGACACTCCTCTTTCATCGTCCCCAGTCCAAGAAGCAACCACAGGGCAGTGGAGACAAAGTGTTGTTTTACATTTATTTGATTTATTATTAGTGCATCCCAAAATTTGCTCTTATCTGACACATCACAAGCTCATTTTTGTGCAAAAATGACATATCTGATTCCTTTTGACATATCAAAGGATTTGCCTTGGATTCCACCAGTGACAGTGCATCCACAGCAATTCATCCTGTACTTACTCTTGGGAAAGGCAAAAGCGCTAGTTCAGCGACAGGATCCCTGCTTGCTTGTCTGTGGAGCAGAGTGCACGCCTTGCAGAAAAATTCAGATGAATTTTGGATTACTGTCTTGGGTGCTGGAAGCATTTTAGCCTTATTAGCAAAATGGTCCAGCTGAGCCAATTAGCCCTAATTACAGGAGCAGTTCTATTAGACTAGGGGGAGCTGTATCCTTACACGGTAATACTACTTTGGTGTTTATCTCCAGTATATCTGCATAAACTTCACTGTGCCTTTTAATGAGAAAATACAGGTTAGAAAAGTGACCAGTTTCCAGGGTAAAGATAAGAACAGAGGTGGATAAATACATTTCCCAAAATGAGTATGAGGTTGCCTGTAGTCCTTTTTCTTAGCCAAGTGGCTTAGAAGGTGAGAACAATGTATAAAAGCTTGAAAATCCTCTAAACGTATCTCCACTTAGTTTCTTCCAAAGGAAAGAATACCTAATTTAAGACTAAGAAACAAAAGTCAGAAAAAATAATTTTTTTTACAGGCTGGCTGAAGATGTTTCAATATGTTTAAAGCCCCCACTAGATACCTAGGATAGTGCAGAGCTGGTGAAAACACACAGACATCACTCAAATGCACTACCAGCAGCAGCTCGCTGTTCCTTGCAACATCACTAAGGAATATGAGTTATTTTTGTTCTCCTAACGGTGAGTGGGAAATCAGAGCAGAGAAGTTTTGTGATTTATCGAAGCCCTGGGGAATGGGGCGGGGCATCCAACTCGGAAATCCCAACATGGTGGTTCCCAGTCCTGTGTCCTGCCATCCCTTGCCCCAGGCATTAAAAGCCGGTATAATTAGAGCTCTCCAGTGAGTGGTTCGCCAGCAGAGCCCTGGGTGGGGGAGGTTGTCACAAACTAACCTAACAACTGTGCTGCTGCTGCTGGGAAGTAGGAGAGCTGCCTCTCTGGAGGTGAAAAGCTGGTGTTAGAGGGAAACGTGCAGGTCGCCACTGCATTTGCGAAGCCTCCTCCCTGCTATGTACAGTCTCTGTCTCCTGTGTGCCCCTTCCCAGGAGGGGAAGAGCTGGGGGGACCAAACTGAATGGCAGCAGCACTTTTCCCGGCCAGGAGGGCAGCCTGGTGTGCGTAATTCAGTGTGGATTCAACGGCCGTGAGATGCCACTGGATGTGCAGTGAAGCACGCTGGGAACCAGATCCCCAACCCAGGGCATCTGCAGCAAAGGGAGGGACACTCCTGAGGCCTACGGGGGGAAAGGGAGACAGGAGGCAACCGTGCACTCGCCAGCAGGAGAGCAAAGCAGGAGCAAGCACCAGCCAAGAAAAGGCGAGCAGGGGCAGCGCCTGTAAGAAGCATCATCCCTGGGGGACTGAGGGTGCTATGGGCCTATGCACACTGCTGTGGGAATGTCTCCAGAGGTGCTGGGGCTCCAGGCACACACAGTACCAGCATCAGTGGGACGCAGTGGGGTGATCACAACACCCCAGGTAGGAAAGCTGAGCAGGCTCTGGAGACCGGGCCACTGATGCCAGGACTTACTTGCCCCACTCCATGCCTACACTCAGTTGCCTGGGCTCTTACAGGGCTCTTCTTTAATACTGGGGGATGCCTTGTAAATAGGGCTCATGTGCTGCCGGAGTTGGGATGTACAACCTCTCTCCCCCTCCTCTCCTCCCTTGTTTGAGGAACAAGATGAGGGCGATGTATAGGGCTGGAGTGCTCAGGGCTCTGCCAGGACTGGGGGAAGCAAGTGAGGAGCCATCATCGCCCTGCATCCCCTAATCCCGCAAAGCATTGACAGCAATCCATTTCCAGGAGCCAGACTCCGGATGCGTGGGATCATGAGTGAGAGGTGGTCACAAGGCAGCTGGCAGGAGACGAGGCAGGTTAGCCCGGTAGAAAGCACCTGTCTCGGATCTGCACAGCCAGCTGCCTGCCCAGGGTGGGTCAGGGGCACAGCTGGCTCCTGCACGCAGGGACTGCCACCACTTCCCATAACCGCCGGGACCAGGCTTCTCCCTGGGGAAACTCGGCCTCGTGCCGGGCTCAGCAAGAGGAGGGAGACTTCTTCACAGCCTCCCCCAGCGTGCGCAGAGACGCTGCCATCAGTGACCGTGTAATTAGACATTGTTCCACATACCAGCACTAAACCTCTGCCCCGCCAAGAGCAGCAGTGCAGGGAGGTCAGGCCCCTCGGCTCGAGGCACGATCCTTCAGGTTTATTCCCCCCGAAATCGCTGGGCAGGGCTGCGTGGGGAGGGCGAGGGGTCCCCGCCGGCATCTGCGGGGGGGG